ATATGTTATCTCTTCATCCTGATTAATAACCGTAACTTTGATGTTTCTTCGAATGAGTATCTAACTCTAAGATTTCATGACTGCAGGCGGTGCCCGATCTTGGACCCGCTCTCTATCTCATGTTAGACTTCCAATCATGATCTTCGTGTTGCGATCTCGATCTTTATTGGAGACTCCTTTTTTAACAAAATTGAGATAAGTTTCTTCCTTCGATTATCATAATAGACTGATGGGTCATGTTCTAATGAGCTCTCATCGTATGATGCATCGCTTGGACTCAGGTCTTTTAAAGTCAAATCCAGAACAAACTATACCTTCCTCCATGTTCTAACCACATCTTAAAAGGTAGCATTTCTAACTACAAGCAATTGTCGCGATACCTCTACCGATCACTTTAATTAGCTTTTACTTCAATCCTATGGCTTAAGTCAGATGTTACATCGAACTTGGTTCTCTAAACCACATAACATACTCAGCGTAGTCGGAGTCAAATTGATATGACCACTAGGGTCGGAATAAAAATCATCTTCTTAGTCATTAATGAAACGATGGTAACGACTTACATGAACAAAACGAAATCAATTACTAGCTTCTTGGTAATCTTGTGACTTTCCCCGATCCAAGCGTGAGTCCTGTGCTTCCGGTAGTATATGCATCTACTACCTTTCACACCGACTCATACTCGTCCCAAGTATTGTCTCGTAGTCTCTAAGTCCTAAAATCACAAAACAATTTAACACATACGAGTGTGTCCAAATAATCATAAAAATTTCCCTAGACTCTACTAGGACTTCTTCCATGCATATCTTCAATCATCAATTCAGATTCAACTCGGTTGGTGATGGACATTCCAGATGATAGGAAAACTTTAGGAATTACACCAATCGTTCTATCATCCCGCCAATCAAATGTGTACATTCAGATGTACCCTACTTCTATAGACATATTGCTATTTTATCAGACGTATTCTAAACGCAAGATACCTCTCTTATGATATCTTCTGATAGGTATCATTCAGTATCATAAGCCATCTCATTTCCTCTATTTTCCCGGTCTATCATGGTTTGCATCACTTCATGAACTTTTTCCATCGTGATAGGTTCGGGTGTAGGCGTAACGACCGATGTATGACCCATCACATTCTTAGGCTCAGGTTGTCATCTTCCTCTTGTTTTGTACACCCAAGCAGACGTTCGGTGTACCGAGACGAGAATTTAAGATAGGAAATATTTTATTTACGATAGACGTATAAATCTCCTTGTTACACCGAAACGTTACATGTTAGTTCTAATATCGTAATCATACACTTAGAATCCTGAACACACAAGGTTTCCAGATCCGGTCGGCAACAGACCATAGATCCGAACAAATAACAACATATAAGGCATCTTTATAGCTATAACATAAATCATTTAGCACATAAAACATTTTAGGCATCTTTCCTAAAATAAACTAGTGCTCATGTCTAAATTATAGCAGACACTCATCTCACAGTCATCGCTTAGCATCATAAGTTTAAGTCTAGAAATTTCCTACAAATTCCTAGTTCACTTAAACTAATGCTCTGATACCAACTGTGACTCGCCGAGTACCTCAAGATCTTAATCCATATAGTGGCTTTCAAGCCATGCAGGGGATTCAATCCTTAGATCTACCCTTCTACAAGTTGTTCCTCACGTAAAGTTTACGTGAATCCAAAGAGATCTAAGCATAAAAGACTCTTGAGCTAGGGCTTGGGACAAGAAGGCTTCATCAACAATTCAAAGACAGGAACTTTATGATCCTCTGGACCATCTCAAGTCCAGATCTAAGGTAGCAACCTTAGATCCATCCTCTAAACACAAAATAACTCTAAAAATGCCACAAAACTCAAGCAACAAAGGATCTAGATGCAAAGGACCTTAAGCAACAGGTTATTACCTCAAATGAAAGTTCTAACTGAAGAATGAACCAAATCTCTGCAAAGCCCCTTGCTCCAACCTTCTTAATCTTCAAAGATATCTTCACCAAGCACTTATCAAGGTTCCAAATGCTCTCCAATGCTCCCACAAACGGATTTAGGGTTTCTAGACTTCAAAAGGGCTAAGGGGACTGAAGGGAGGGCATTAAGTCCTTTAAATAGGGTGCAACCTCGGAGATTAGGGTTTTTCTCTCTTCAACACCAAGTCGTCGAGTCCAGCCTCCGACTCGCCGAGTTGGTCACTTAACGTGTGACCAGAATCGCGACTCGACTCACCGAGTCTATCCATCGACTCGCCGAGTCGGCCTTCCTTATTTACACTTTGCACCCTGAAATTGCACTCCTGAACTCGGTTATAGTTTTGGAGCTTTAGAAAGGGATTTTTGTGAAGGAAACTTGTAGATCAAGAGGCTAGCATCAAGGTTTTCGTGTGGATCCAGAGACTATTTCAGTTTGGGTACGTTTTGGAGGTAACAAGCTGTTACCTTGACCTCTTTTCTTATAGAATATTTCATATGTGAAGTTTAGGGCTTTCTTTAGCTATTCATGAAGGGATTATGGTATGGGAGCTAGATATGACGTTGAAACTTCATATCTGAATCTCTTTTGAGCCCTAAGTTCATAAAGTTCTTAATAAGGTCATGAAGGAACCCTTGTTTATGAGTAAAGTCCCATTTCAAGCTTAGATGTGGAATTTGAGTCATGCAAATATGTAAAGGTAGCAACTTTACGTTGCTAATGCACTATAGGGACCTAGATCTACCGATTGAAACAAAGGGATAGTTCATAATAGCTGGATCATGAGAATATGCGTATGGACTCGGCGAGCGTGGGAGATGACTCGACGAGTCCGGTAGGGTTTTGTCCAAATTAGTCCTGTATGGACTCGGTGAGGTCTGGGAGATGACCCGGCGAGTCAGATTGGATTTCCAAGCACTGGGTTGCGTATCGACTCGACGAGTCGAGTCGAGAAATTCTGGAATCAGGAGGAACTCGAGGCAGAGAGAGTTATATGCAACAAATAGGTCAACATGGACTATTGACCATTGACCAGTGACTTGATTTGACTGTGGGGTGTCTTGTACCTCCCTAGGGCATCTTGGTAATTTTAGTGATTATTGAGTGGACCACTTATGGGTACAGGCGAGGTGGTTGGAGCTATATCTGGAGGTATGGGCAGTATCATTACGAGCTACTATCAAGGTGAGTTATCCTCACTATATTAATAGGGTCTAAGGTACCAAGGCCGACCCTTTTAGTTGTTATCTTTGTTATAGTATGCTACATATGGTTATGGCCAGTTAGATCGGTATAAGGATAGACAGTATGTTGTTTTGCTCTTATGATCCGTTAGGATTGGTATGTTAGTGACCTGGTTAGGTCGGTGCTCTGGTTATGAGAGATTACTATGATCGATGATCTGTGATATAGTTATATATGATATATGTTATGCCAGAATATGTTACTTATGCGCACATGGTTATTTGATTGATGTTTGGGTTGAGGCGGTCATGCTTTATGCTGAAGGCCAACATACCCTATGAGCGGTCCGAATAGACTGTAGGCCTGTATAGCGGTCCAGTCATACCGAAGGCTCGGGGTAGATCCAGATAGACTGTAGGCCCTGCAGGGCGATCCAATCATGCCGAAGGCCCAGTATGCATGTTGTTGATTATCTGTTATTGATATTGTATTATCGGTGTGATATTGGTATTGTGGGGGTAGCTCACTAAGCCCTCGGGCTTACATTTTCAGTTTATTATTTCAGATACTTCCGGAGATCATGGCAGGGCGAAGGTTTGATCGTACCGCTCCTCATCTATATAACTATATTTTCTCGGACACTCTGATGAATAATATTTTGAAAACATTTTGTAAAACACTATTTGGTTTCATGGTTGAAAAAGTTTAAATTTGGGTTAAAATTTTTTGTATTTTACATTGGGGTTGCCAGATCGCGTTCAGGTAGATGATGTTGAACTCCATTGCGACTTGGTTGGCGGTCCTCGATTTCGAGTAAAGTGAATCAGGATTGTGGTAGTTCCTTTTCATGCGTTGACAAAAATTTAGCCAAAATTTTTCTTTGAAGGTTGTCGAGTCTTGGTCATTGTTATGGATCGGTTCGTCCAACACATCTAGCCATGATTGCGCTAGTGTCTTCTTTTCATCATCCGTCCACCCTCTACATGGAGCGCCTTTATTATTATTATTATTATTATTAAATACTTGTGGTTTGACCCCGGGCTCTTGAAATGACTCTTGAACGAGATCTTCTTCAACGATGCCTTCATCGAAAGAATCGGTTGACTCATCGAGTACGCGACGTGGTTGGGATTGAAAGTTACTTTACGATTGAGGTTGAGAAAAAATTGAGTTTTTTGAACCATTTCAAACGGATCAAGACCGACATTAGGACAATGTGTTGGATGAGATTGCTTGTGGTAAAATGCCCTTTGTTGAGAAGAGAACAGATTGAATGTAAAACATTTATAGAGTCATTGTAGGAAAGTAGTAACTAGCGGAAGAGTGAATTGGTGAATGAGATAATTTGTGAGGTATAATATTTTGTGTGTTTAAACTGTTGACAGTATGGTTTGATTTATAGTAGTTGAATATTTAATTTTTTTTATTAAAATCGTTTTTTATAATGAAAGTTGGTAATAAGTCGTTGAAATAAAATTCAACAATTGAATTCGGTCAAGCGTCAAACAATTCGATCAAACACACTCCAACCAATCAAATTCGTGCATGGCTCGCGTCTCCGATAGCAACCCCCTAGCGAGAATCGCTAGGAAACGATGTTCTAGCAGACATAGCGAGGCTGACAAGTGCCGCTTCGCTTGTCCTTAGGAGTAATTTAGCTAGTTAAATGTGGATCAATATGATAACGGAGATGATTTGTACACAATAATTTTTCTTCATACACAATAATTGGTGTTTTAAGTGTTGTACTGTACAACTCAATAATAGATAAATTGTTTGTATAAAAAAAAATGTTATTTACACATTAAAATAGATTTGCTTTAATTGAATTAATAAAAGTGGGTTTAGCTTTTCGGAGAGGAAAGAGAAAGACGGCAAAAGAAACAAGGCATACATAGACGAGGGTTTACAATGAGCAAAGGGGAAGATTACATAAGAACCTTGCATTTGACTCGCAATTTTATGTATCATTTTCCCCAAATTAGTGGCTTCGTGATCTTATAGTCAAAACCTTACAATTTGTTATGAAGATTTGATTTAAGGAATTTGTTTTTTCACTATCTGATCATTAGTTGATAATGGAGGCATTGACGGAGCTATGCGATTTGATCGCGCAGAACCCTAATCAGTTTTCCGACAAAATTGCTTGGATTTGCAGCCGGTGTCCTCCGTCGGAGTCTCTCCTATCCGGATCTCCGAGAATTTCACGTTCTCAGCTCAATGCGGTTCTTGTAACAGCCCGATTCATCTCCAAATGCGGCAATTACAGTGATACTCGTCCCCGAACGATTGCTCTTGAGTTCATAAGAGCAATTCCAGCTTCCTTTGAACAATCATTCTGGCCAAAATCGTTCGGGAACTCTTCGATTGCTTCTTTTTATGCAGAATTCTTCGGGTATGTTTGCAAAGCAGCTGAACTGTATCCAGAGTTCGACTCTGATGTGGCAAGGTTCATGGGAGACATTGTTTTTGTTGCTGTTAATGATAGATATGGTGATGTAGCGATTTCCAAGGCCTTTCTGAGCGCTTTATCTGAGAGTTTCCCTCCTATTATCCCATCAGATGCAAATAAATTAGTTACTTCTTTACTTGATGGCCTAGACTTTGCTCTTCCAAGCAGCAGTTCTCCTAAAGCTATAATGGGATCCAATTCTTCTTCACAGAGCTCTCCAGTTAGTGTTAGCAACGTTGCTGCGTCCAGTTCATCTAATGGCGGTGTAGATGATGCCAATTCAAAGGCTATAGTTACCAACGGGGGAACCAATGGTGGATGGGCGACAATAGGGACTCCCTCTGGTAGTGATAGGAGGGGGGCCGCTTACTTTGAAGAGGAATTGGTGGAGAATCTTGAGAAACAGGAGATTGCCTTCAAATTAATCGGACATATTCTTGATAAAACACAGATTGATCCCAAGCTTTTGGAACGGCTGCACATCATTACAAAGGATCAACTCAAATCAATTTCATCTTTTCTAAAGGTAAGATTTGCATAAAGTATTGCTTTGTTTTCTGTTCCTTTGCATTGCAAAACAACTCCATCATTTAAGAGCTAGTATATGAATCTCTATTTGTTGGGCAGATAAGGAAGCGCGATTGGTCGGAGCAGGGCTCAGCACTGAAGGCTAGAATCAATACAAAACTTTCAGTATACAAAGCTGCAGTTAAGTTGAAAGTCAGAAGTCTTGCATCCCTTGATTCAGATGGGAAATCAGCAAAGAAGTTATTGCATGGAGCTTTGGCCTTGTTAGTAGAAGCAGCAGAAGCTTGTGTATATTCAGTGTGGCGCAAGCTGCGAATTTGTGAAGATCTTTTCAGTTCGTTGCTTGATGGTATCTCTAAAATTGCTGTTACACGTGGAGGTCATCTACTACGGGTTCTGTTTATACGGTTTAAACCCCTTGTGCTAACTACATGTGCTCAAGTATATACCTTTTTGTTTGATCTGTGATAAGTTCTGTATCTTCTTTAGTTTCTTTAGTGAGCTGAATGTTTTTTTCTTTGAATTTATCTTGTAGGCTGATACTTGGGCAAGCAGCCAGGGAGCTATGTTTGAGAGTGTCTTGAAGGCAAGCTGTGAGATTATCGACTATGGATGGACCAAGGATCGAGCTCCTGTGGATACATTTATTATGGGACTTGCTACAAGTATTCGTGAGCGCAATGACTATGAGGAAGAGGTTGGTTATATACTTTCTTATTAAGCATTTAACTTTGATAAAAATATAAATTCTTATCATCTATATGTATATATAACTTCAGGATAATGCCAAAGAGAAGCAGGCAGTTCCTATTGTACAGCTCAATGTCATCCGGTTGCTTGCAGAGTTAAATGTACAAGTTAAAAAAACTGAAGTGGTTGACACTATCTTGCCACTTTTCATTGAAAGTTTGGAGGAGGGTGATGCTTCAACACCTGGCTTATTACGTCTGCGAGTATGACACTTATCTTTAATCATGTTTTATTATGATTATAAGTCCTATTTCTTTAAATCACTCATTTTTCTTGTTAAAAGGCATATCAAAATCTCTTGTTGTTATATGAAGGCATTCTCAAACTTTCTTTGGTGAATCACTGCAGCTTCTTGATGCTGTTTCTCGCATTGCAAGTTTAGGTTTTGAGAAGTCTTATCGTGAAGCTGTTGTGTTAATGATAAGAAGTTACTTAAGTAAACTTTCCACCATTGGATCTGCTGAAAGCAGGACCTTGCCACCAGAGGCGAATACAGAACGTGTTGAGGTATGTCCTGCTGGAGTTATGCCCCTTATTTACTTATATATCTTTTGTAAGTTGAACTAGACAGAAAACTGGCACAGAGAAATCTTTATCAAATACATGTAGGCGGTGTTTCTTTTTGATTTAATTGAATTAATGTGGACAAAAGAAGTTATAAGGATTTATAATTAGTGTTGGCTTATGTAGTATGAAATAAAGATGAAAAATGAAATCATAAAATACTTATTCATCTATTGATCTTTATAAGTCTACAAAAAACCGTAGAATTTTATTCAAAACGATAAAAATATCATGCAATTGTCAAAAAACAAAAAGATTCCACCCACCCATTTGATGTCATACATATCAAGATTTTGAATTTGGGCATATTTTGTCTTGGATAATTTTGGTTATTATCATAAATTGGAAAGCATTATTGTGAATTGTTAGAGTACAATGTTATTGTAAACATATATATATATATATATATATATATATATATCCTGCATAACTTCTAGACAGATGGGTAAAATGGTCATTTTGTCATGTTTAAACCGTTCATTCGGTCAAAAAAAGAAAAAAAAGAAACAGTCTTTGTTTATACAACACTTATTCCAGACAGACATCATTTCTGGATTGAGTATTTTATCCCTACAACAGTCAATTAGGAGAAAAAAGAAACTGCCCCTTAGTATACTTGCTTACTATATATAATATAAGTTTGATTTTAGAACTGTTTTACATCAAGAATGAATTTTTATAAGTTCACATTCAGTATACTTTCTGTAAATCCTCACCTTAGATGCTCACTGGTTCAATTACATTCAAGACTCTTCCTGCAGGATTTCAATCCATAGCTAAAGGCCTTACCAATGAAAAACTTCGTGTTGACTTTCGTCATCGCCTGCTGTCTTTATGCTCAGATGTAGGTTTAGCTGCTGAGTCCAAAAGTGGAAGGTATAATATGGAATATATGTATAATATATAATATCATTATATGCCAAAATTATCTGAAAAATATATTCTTTCTTATTTGCAGTAGTGGTGCTGATTTTCTTGGGCCTTTGCTTCCTGCTGTGGCTGAAATCTGTTCTGATTTTGATCCAACGGTTGATGTTGAACCTTCACTCATGAAGTTATTTCGTAACCTATGGTTCTACATTGCTCTTTTCGGCTTGGCACCCCCAATTTTGAGGGCTCCAGTCTCAGTGAAGCCAAATTCTACAACATTGAACAATGGAGGGAATACAACTGCTGTTGCCCTTCAAGCTGTGGGTGGGCCCTACATGTGGAATCCTCAATGGTCTTCTGCTGTTCAACGCATTTCTCAAGGGACCCCACCCCTTGTATGTAACCGTTGACTTTATTTATTTATTTATTTTTAACTTTTTTGGTCTTTGAGCATAGCTGATTTTTGCAATTTTGGTCCCAAAAAGTCGTCTTTTGCAAATTTTGTCCTTATTTCGAAGTTTCCTAACGATTTTGGTCCCTGTGTCATCTAAGTTGATTAAGTTTTTTAAAATGGCCATTTTGTCCTTGGACCAAAACTGAGAAAACAGTATACCACATAGACTAAAGTTGTAATTTTCTCTTATTTTTAAATAAAGGTTTTGTAACACTTTATGTGCATATGATCTTTTAAATTTGTAATATTTTTAGTTATACTGTTTATTGAATAAATTGTTAATATATCAAATTTATATTATTTGTATATTAATATAACTTGCTATGATAAAATATATTATTCTTTAAATGTTCTCTATGTACAAAGGTATAAGTTGACAGGATCAGTATTCTAAATTTCTTATAGTTTAAAATTTTAATATTTTAGGGCCATATGTTCATTTTGCAACGTTTTTGAATCTGTACTTGAGATTAATGGCACCATGTAGTTATGTTTATGTCTCCTGTTTCTGTGAAAACTGTAAAATGTGCAAAGCCAATAGCATGAAATGAATTTTGTGATTTTATATTTTTTGTCAGGTTGTGAGCTCTGTAAAATGGCTAGAGGACGAATTAGAACTTAATGCCCTTCATAACCCTGGTAGTCGTAGAGGAAATGGAAATGAGAAAGCTGCTGTAAATCAAAGAACAGCTCTTTCAGCTGCATTAGGAGGGCGTGTTGAGGTTGGATCAATGACCACAATTTCAGGGGTGAAGGCAACTTATCTTCTTGCAGTGGCATTTGTGGAAATTATACGGTTTAGCAGCAATGGTGGAATCCTTAATCATGGTCCTAATTCCACTGCTTCTAGAAGTGCCTTCAGTTGTGTTTTTGAGTATCTGAAAAGCCCGAATCTTATGCCTGCTGTCTTGCAATGCTTAATGGCCATTGTTCATCGGGCTTTTGAGACTGCATTATCATGGCTGGTGATTCTTTTTCTTATGAATTCCTTTATATTATGCATTTTTATTTTTATGTGTGGAATGTTAGGTGAATCTTGTAATGGATGCAGGAGGCTCAAATATGTGAGACAGGAGATGCTGCTGAGGTCAGAGAGTCAACTCTTGCTGTCCATGCTTGCTTTCTCATAAAGAGTTTGTCTGTTAGAGAAGAACACATTCGGGATGTATCTGTTAATCTGTTGTCTCAATTGAGAGAAAGATTTCCACAGGTAAACTGTTGACCTGTATTACAAATTTATGAGCTTTTATATGCTATCGCCTGTAAAACATAAATTACATTACCTATAATGGTAAAAAGAGTAAATGATTTCCCCTTTACTTCAAGTAACATTCTATTGGGTGCAGATTCTGTGGAAATCATCTTGTTTGGATTCTCTTTTGTTCTCTGTGAATGGTGATCCACCTTCATCTCTCGTGAATGATCCTGCTTCAGTAGCTTCTGTTCGCTCTTTGTACCAAAGCGTTGTCAAGGAGTGGATTGTTGATTCGCTATCCTATGCTCCATGCACCACCCAAGGTCTTCTTCAGGTTTGTGATGTTAATGACCATATTACCCTTATATTCTAGACTGAATAAGCCTTTTAAATGAGACTTAATGACCATATTACCCTTGTATTCCAAAAAAACAAATTTCACAATATTCATCAATTTTAAAGTTAACTCGTTAAGTAATTCTGTCCAGTTTAAGTAAAAGAAGAAACAACCCTATAGTCTCAAAAGGTTCACTTTGTAGTTTGTTAAGTCTAACAAACTGACTGTGTCCAAACATAAATGTTTCAGGAGCAACTTTGTAAAGCAAACACATGGCAAAAAGCACAGCCCACTACAGACGTTGTTTCTCTTTTATCTGAAATAAAAATAGGAACAGGGAAAACGGATTGTTGGAAGGGTAAAAAAACTGCCAACATTCCTGCAGTAATGGCATCTGCAGCTGCTGCATCGGGTGGAAATTTGAAGTCAACAGAGGCGTTTAATATTGAGGTTCTTAGCACTGCGATTGTTAGTGCTACAGTGAAGTGTAATCATGCAGGAGAAATTGCTGGCATGAAAAGGTTATATGAGAACATAGATGGTGCAGATGATGATGATGATGATAAGGGCTCTGAAGTTGCACCTAAAAAGCAGTCGTTTGGGGAGATATTGCTTAATAAGTTTGTAAGGCTTCTTCAGAAGTTTGTTTCCATGGCTGAGAAAGGTGGAAGTGTTGACAAGTCTTCTTTTCGTGAGACGTGTTCACAGGCAACTGCTTTACTACTATCAAGTCTGGTAAGAATAAAATGACAGAGGATTCACAATGGTTATAACCTGTTAAAGACTTTTTATTTTTTCCACGTCAGCATTCCACTGACCTTTAACTAAAAGTCACAAACCTTTTTCAATGCATAAACTTTTTTTCGAGAATATTTAGCATCATCCATCTAGAATCTTTTATAAACCACTATGTCAACAAAAAACATTACTTGACATTAACATATAAATAAATAATTATTCGAATAATATCGAAGGTTTTACAACTTAAATATGAATACAGAATAAACTAATGATAGAAACCTGTTGAAATAAACCCAAGTAGTAGAAAGCTATGTATTTAATTTGGTATTTGTTTTCCTAACATTTGCTAAATGATAATGAAATGAAAAATTCAGGCATCAGATGCAAAACCCAATGCAGAAAGCTTCTCACAACTCCTGCGACTTCTTTGCTGGTGTCCAGCTTATATTTCTACACCCGATGCAATGGAAACGGGTATTTTCATATGGACATGGTTAGTGTCTGCAGCACCTGAATTGGGTTGTGTAGTCCTTGCAGAACTTGTTGATGCATGGCTATGGACAATTGACACCAAACGGGGACTCTTTGCATCTCAAGTCAGATTCCATGGCCCAGCTGCCAAATTAAGGCCTCAACTTGCACCTGGTGAGCCAGAATCACCACCTGAAAAGGACCCTGTTCAAGAGATTCTAGCACATCGCCTATGGCTCGGCTTCTTCATTGATCGTTTTGAGGTCACTTATCTTTATTCACACTCACACAACTTTCTTTTATGCATGCTACTACATAAAAATCTAGTCTCTACTTGGTTTTACATACATATTCTTGTCTTCATCTAAACAATCGTATGTTTTTACAGGTGGTTAGACACAACAGTGTGGAACAACTCTTGCTTCTTGGTAGAATGTTACAAGGGACTACCAAATTCCCATGGAGATTTTCCCGCCATCCAGCCGCCACTGGTTCTTTTTTTACTCTCATGCTGCTTGGACTTAAATTATGCTCATGCCAATTTCAGGGGAATTTGCACAAGTTTAAATTAGGGCTTCAGCTTCTAGAAGATAGGATTTACCGGTATTTAATTTTTTTCTTTCTACTCTTTGCTTTACTCATTTGTCATTTTCAATTAATTTCCATTTTCTAAAACTGCTACAGGGCTTCATTAGGCTGGTTTTGCCATCAACCTGAGTGGTTTGAGACAAATAATGGGAATTTTGCACACAGTGAAGCTCAATCTGTTCATTCTTTTGTCCAATTTTTGTTAAATCAGCGAATGGATGTTCCTCAAAATGATTCAAAAGTACAAGGCCAAGAAAATGGAAATGCTTTGCTTAATATGGTAAGAGGCTGTTTCTTTTTTACTTAATCAGCTTGATGGGTTAAGCATATATAGTTGTTTCTTTTTGACTTAATCTGCACAGAATGATGTTGACTATTTATATATTTTTCCTTTCTTTTCTTCATCCCAACTCATCTCTTGTTAAAGTTGATAGAATATTGTGAAATTTGTATTTTGGGATGTAAGGATAAAATGGTCATTTAGTCTCATTCAGACAATTTGTTCAGCCACTTTACCCATACAACACTTAACAAGGGGAAAAAAAAAAAAGAAACAACCCTAAAACAAAAACCTGCAAATTTTCTGTATTATTTTTTTATATCTGATGATTGTGTTTAAATTGATAAATCCAGAAGGATTCATATCACCCTGTTTGGGGAACAATGGAGAATTATGCTGTTGGTAGGGCCCAAAGAAAGCAGCTACTTTTAATGCTCTGTCAGCATGAAGCTGAAAGGCTTGATGTTTGGGCTATGCCTGTTCCTCTTCCTGGCTCCAAGTAAATATTTTCCACCATGTCTTCAACCTTTTCATCTTTTTTTCCATTATCTATGACTATGACTAACAACATTATCATTTACTAATTTACCCTCAGAGATATCATCACACCCTGGAAGCCTAAGATTAACCCAGAGAAATGGATTGAACATGCAAGAACAGCATTTGCTGTTGACCCTCGGATTGCTTTCTCTTTAGGTGCTAGATTTCCTACAAATTCTCCTCTAAAAATGGAACTAACTCACTTGGTTCAGGTAACTATCTCCATTTTCTATAATATATAAATAAAATTTTGTTTTATAATTTATATTAGATTTTAGCGACACCTTTTTTTTGAAATTTTGCAGACACATATATTGGAGATTCGCACCATACCTGAAGCTTTACCTTACTTTGTGACCCCAAAAGCTGTGGATGAAGATTCACCACTTTTGCAACAGTTAACACATTGGGCTGCTTGTTCAATCACACAGGCTTTAGAGTATTTCACACCAGCATACAAAGGTCACCCACGTGTGATGGCTTATATTCTGAGGGTATTAGAGTCATATCCTCCTTCCCGTGTAACCTTTTTCATGCCACAGCTGATTCAAGCTCTAAGATATGACGACGAGGTGCTGTATTTTATATAACTACATTTACTTCAATTGTCTGATTAAAAAAAATACTAATAGTAATAACATCCCCCTTAATCTGCAGAAATTGGTTGAGGGATACCTGATTAGAGCTGCTCAAAGAAGTGATGTATTCTCTCATATTCTCATTTGGCATTTACAGGTTGGCACATTTTGTCTCTGGTTTTAAATAAATTACAGCTTTGGTCCCCGAGTAGCGAGCGTAGTTGAAGTTTCATAAAGATTTTGGTCCCTATGGTATATATATATATATATATATATATTCAGTTTTGGTGATAATGAAAAATTTAACAACCGGGCTGTTAACTTAGATGACAAGGGGACCAAAATTGTTGAAAATAAGTTTTTGGAACAAAAATTGTAAAAATGAAGTACAGCCAGGGACCAAAAGTGTATATTAATGAATGTATTATGAGAATATGTGTGAGTTTGTAGTAACTGAAGTGAAGTATTTATTGATGGATGATAGGGAGAGACATGTACACCAGAGCAAGTGGGTAAAGAAGGTGTGTCAGCAAAGGTACTGACTGACTTTTATCCATTTCTATGTGATTAAGAGAAAGCAATCAACATTTATCTTTTTTGTTGATTAGTCATTGTTGTTAAATTATGTGTGTATTGATTGATTGATTCAGACTACAGCCTTTTTGGGTCTACTGCCTCTTGTTAGACAACACATCATCGATGGTTTCAGTCCAAAAGCTCGTGAAATATTTCAAAGAGAATTTGACTTTTTTGAAAAAGTGACGTCTATATCTGGTGTTCTTTATCCTCTTCCAAAAGAAGAAAGAAGAGCTGGCATAAAGAGGTAGGTATAGGTATATCTGTTTTGGTATTTTATTAATTTAAAAAAATAAAAAATAAAAAATGGTTTTGGGTGCAGAGAGTTGGAAAAGATTCAATTGAATGGGGATGATCTTTATCTACCTACAGCTCCTAATAAGCTCGTGAAGGGTATTCAGGTGAATAGTGGAATACCGCTACAGTCGGCTGCAAAAGTGCCAATTATGATCACGTTTGATGTGGCTGATCGAAACGGGGATCCTAATGATCTAAAACCACAAGCTTGTATTTTCAAGGTATAAGTAGAATGCTGTAATCGTAGGAAGAAATGGAAAATAAACACATACATATTTATTATGCAGGTTGGAGATGACTGCAGACAAGATGTACTTGCTTTACAAGTGATTTCGCTTCTGAAAGACATATTTGAAGCAGTTGGACTTGATCTTTATCTGTTTCCTTATGGAGTACTTCCAACTGACCCTGAAAGAGGAATTATTGAGGTCACTTACTTCAACTTCCATACTTTTTAAGCAAAAAAATAAAATAAAAAAAATGGGGTTTAATTATATGTATGTATTTATTTTTGTGCAGGTTGTTCCAAACACGCGGAGTAGAAGCCAGATGGGTGAAACGACAGATGGTGGATTATATGAAATATTCCAACAAGATTTTGGGGCAGTGGGTTCTCCAAGTTTTGAAGCTGCCCGACATAATTTCATCATCAGTAGTGCTGGTTACGCTGTTGCAAGTCTCTTGCTCCAACCAAAAGACAGACACAATGGGAATCTTTTATTCGACAGGTACCTACCTAACTCATTTTTATATATATATATATATTTTTTATTTTTTATTTTTTATTTTAATTAATAAAAAAAATGTTAATAACATGAATTCATGCATGATGAATATGCAGTTGCGGTAGGCTTGTCCATATTGATTTTGGATTCATTCTGGAGACATCACCCGGTGGAAACATGCGGTTTGAAAGTGCTCATTTTAAACTGAGTCACGAGATGACTCAGTTACTTGATCCCTCTAAAGCCATGAGAAGCGAGACTTGGATATTGTTTGTAAGGTAACCAGAATTCTTATTATTTCTCTTTGCTACAAATATAATGGAATAATAATAATGAAAGTGGTATTTGTGAATAGCTTATGTGTAAAGGGGTACCTGGCTGCACGTCGATACATGGAGGGGATCATAAGCACGGTGTTGATGATGAAGGAAAGCGGGTTGCCATGTTTTAGCAGAGGGGACCCGATTGGGAATCTGAGAAAGAGATTTCATCCGGAAATGAGCGAAAGAGAAGCTGCAACTTTCATGATGCGTGTGTGCGTAGATGCATACGATAAATGGTCTACTGCTGGATATGATCTCATTCAATATCTTCAGCAAGGGATCGAGAAGTAAATTCACTTTCACTTTCCAAGTAATTATTTTTCCATTCTTCTTCTTTTTAGAGAGGCGGTGAGAAGTCATGAGTTTTTTTATTATTATTATTATTAAAATACTTGTGTATAAAGTTTGTAGGTGTTTTTTTTTTTTTTTTCCACTTGTCACGAGTGCAGGATTGGTATTGTAAATTGGTAAATTTGTAGGATTTGGGTTTTTATCTTTTTAATTTTTATTTAACATAATTGCAACCTGTCTCCTTTCAACTCTTGTCAACTCCTTAGAAATCATTAGACATAATTCATAAATTTCAACTAATTTGGAATGAAATAGATTTATGATGATGGTCAACTCATTCCCGGGAATCTATAATGCAACAAAAGACAAAATCTTTTGAGTTCTTGTGCATATGGTATTTCTGGGTTTCACCGTTAAATTTATTTATAGGGGTGTTTGAGATTGTTTATTTAAAACAATGTACGTTTTTTTTTTTTTTTTTTTTAATTTTTTTTAAAATTTTAATTTGATTTAATTTAATTTAAGTATATAAAGTGTTTATTAGCTTATGTGTTACTAAAACGGAGTTTAAAAAATGTGTTTTGATTACTTTATATGGTACCAAAACATAATAATTGATATATTGTTTTTAGTGTTTGAAATTTTTTGTTTATACATGTAAAATATCAAAAAGTCAAAGGGAGAATTGCAAATTGATATGTACATTGTAGGTCATGAAAGTATGTATGGGGTTTTAAGGTTAAAAAAATGATAAAAAGGTAAAATGGTTTCTACTTATAATACTAACTTTCAAATAAATTTAGAAGCCCTTTCAAATAAGTTAGAAGAAAACAACTTATCAAAATTTGCTTTTTTAAATCACAAGGTATTTTCACATAATCCAAACGCTTTTAAATGCTTATTAGTGGTACAAAATCCCAAACAACACCCTAAATAAAATAAAAAGTTTTAATTACTAACTAAATAATCAAACACAAAATGAACAATATATTGAAGAATATGCTTCGGGGTAACATTAGGTTTGCGAACCAAACCTCACGAAGTGATGATATAAGAAAAAAGGTCTTAGAAGTCCACACTTTTCAAAAGTTCATTTTCATCATCGTCGTATGGTACTTTCTATTTTGTTCTTCCCACAAAAAAAGGTAAAGATCATCATTTTTGTTTGCGCCTAAGGATCTTCGGTTGACAAACATGAACGATATGCAAGTAAGTAGACAATAAACCTTTGTCTTTTTGGTATATAATAATCGTAACCGTTACGTGAACACTCTGGGAAGTGGGTTTTAGTATTTCATGTTATTTTGTTTAGTTATTCGGATTTGATAAGCATATATACCATTTCCCTGAACAAAATTGAAGTAGTGTAAAGGTAATTGGAACCAACGTGAATGATGAAACCCTCGTGAATAGTTCATGCGAGTCCATAAGACCTTCACGACAACCTGTTAACCATATGCAAAAGGTTTGAGTTATTCACATTGATGTTCTTGTAACTGTTTGTGTGCAAATGTGTAACGTTATTTTTGCTTGTGATTCGATATTGTCCAAAACGTCATTTGTTCTGGGGCTACTACATAACCCTATTGATTATCAAGTCAAAGGTGCACTTTATGAATGGAATAATGGAGATGTTATCTCCCACTCTATCTCGAACAACACTACTTAGAAATTCATGATTCAGGTCGTGGTTGGAGCTACGTAATATGAATGGGGACCCTCTACTAATCCATACAATGTTGATTTCAATGATCCATCATGAATTTGATGATTATGTGTTGTGTTTTCAAGCTGGAGGACACAAGCTACGTTTTGGACACGAGGAGTTTTGTCTTATATCTGATCTTCGGTTTAGTAGTGTTACATGTGTATATAAAATAATATTTCTCTAGTTTAAGACACTATGTTTCTTCGACAAAATCTTACTGATCTCATATATATTAAGGATTTACTTGACATGTTTAAGAGCTTGAAGTTTCACAACAAAGGTAAGCCTTACAACACCAGACCTTTAAATATGTTACTCATAGAACATCCTCACCCCATATTTCAAAGGGTGTATGGAAACCTTTTTTTTTGGTACAATGTTTAGGATTCCTGTAGTAGTTTCCATGAATTACCCTAGAAATTGATTGGAAGTATAATGCAACTCATCATGGACCAAACCATATCCAACAATATTTGGTTCCTCCTCTCGGCTACACCATTGTGTTGTGGTGTCTCAAGTGGTGTCAATTGTGAGATAATCTCACAATTCCTCAAATAACCGTAGAATTCCTGACTAATGGGGTGTTTGGCAACCTTTGAATGACTGTGCCGAATAATGAAAATCACAATTTTAACCTTCTAAACTGTTTTGTCTTTAGTGAAATGTCTCTGTCTGATATGACTAAACTTGTTGAATAATTATATAAAAAGTTACAAAATATCACACAAAATTCAAATTAAACATAAATCCTAAATTTTCAAATTAAAAAAAACGCATACAAAGAGAACCTAACCCTTAATTTAATATGAGGTAAAAAAAAAACAATATGTATACATCACTCGCTTTATTTGCATTCTTGTTCTGGAGTTAGGTATTCGAAAGGGGGCAAGTATTTCTCACTTGTGTCTCTAATCAGGTAAAATGGATCAAGTATGAACGCAACTGCTCAAGAAGGGTGATAGTTCTTGAATCAAGCTTCATAGAAAGAAAACTGAATCAAACTTTTTGAATCAAAATTCATATAAGATATGAAAGATTTGAGCTTACAATGAAGGATGAAAATATATGTGCTACACCAAATACAAGCTCTCCCTCATGAGTAGCAGGTCCAATGGGTAACACTGTAAGTAGAATCTTAAACATGTCACAAATTACTAGATTTAGAACCCACAACATTGAGATTGACAATTAGAGCAACCATATATAAGAAGTTAACACATCCACAATAGCATGTTCCTGATATATTATTTATTACACAAACCTTGTGTGTATGTCAAGACTAAAATACCTAAACGTTCCAGCAGTATACATTAATGCCCTTAAACAAATTGGTGATAGAGATGTAGTTAAAATCACAATTAGCTAGATGTCAAATAGAAGAATACAATATTTACCAAACAAAATTTAACAAAAAAAAATCAAACGGAGACCCATTGCAACCACAACAATTTCTTCTTGCGAGATTAACACCACTTTTCATGACATGATTAACAACAAACAATTGTATTTTAGAAGGCATTCCAATTACCACATAATGTACGACGTTAAATCGCGAAGTAGCTTTACCACATAAAAAAAAAAAAAGAACCAATTGTAAATATTGATATGTCGTTAAACTTGAAAACCTACTAGGATTTATGATATTGTTTGCAAATTCCAATTCACCCGGTAAATATTTTATGGACCTTTACGTCAACCTGAGAAAAATTATGGAGTGGGATGTAAATATGTGCTTCAACGGCTAGACCGGACTCTTCGTTTAATCCGTTCATCGTATCTGCAATCTGTTACACGTATAATTAAGCCCTATATAACAAAATCATTTCCATCATTAATATAATCATTGTGTAGTCAACTGAATTTAATCACAGTCTCTTCTTGCTCCAATGGCGTCTCTCGGATCACCAATTAATATGCCGACTAAGGTAATCAAAACTCCATACATCTTCTGTATGTTAGGAATCTTCTTCTGTTATTTTATATAGTAAGTTCTCCCATGTTCTGAACTGATTTATGATTTGTGTTACTAATGCAGGCTGGTTTGAGATTGCTTCTTGTTCCCCTTAATTCCAATATTGTAATCAAAACAGCATGGTAATAAGCTTTCTGATAATGAGGCTCTATCTTTCATTAATATCTGATGATTAATTATTGTTTGTGCAGCTGCACTGTGGGGGTTGCATTACCAGTTTACTCCACATTCAAAGCAATAGAGGCGAAAGATCCAAATGAGCAACACAAGTGGCTTTTATATTGGGCAGGTAATTACTGAATGCTATATTCATACTCATTGATTTTGATTGGATGAACTGTTTCTATTTACATGTATATATAAATTTTGCAGTTTATGGATCATTTAGTGTTGGAGAGATATTTGCAGACAGATTCATATACTGGTATTTATTATCTTTAACACTGACTTTTTATTCTTTTGGTATAACTATTAGCATTCTCAAGTCTCCATGAATCTCAAGGTAATAAGTCTCGAGAAACTCTTCTTGTTTACTTTTTTTTTTTTCAGGTTTCCACTTTATTATCACATCAAGTTTGCTTTTCTTGCATGGCTTCAGCTTCCCACCACAAGTGTAAACAAAATTTTTATAATTTTATTTGTTATCCCTTTTCTTTTATATATTCCCCATATCAACCACCTAATTTCTGTTCTCATTCTATTATTAATATTATGACTCTTTTAGTTCCACATGTTAATTGTTTTGCTGTTTTTCAGGGGGCTAAGCAATTATACATGAATCATTTGCTTCCTGTCTTATCGAGACATGAAGCTATTCTTGATCAAATTGCGGGGTTGTTTTACAACAAAATGGTAATTAAACATCTTCACAGTTTATTTGTTTCCTAATCAACTGATTCATGTAGTTTAGTTTTTTAAAAGTCATCAAAGTTAATCCAACAAGTTCTAAAAACTGAAGGATTATATATGAAAACAATTTCAGGACAAATTTATCAGTGCTCATCAAGGGGAATTTGAATTCATGAAGACTAAAATTATTAAGATTCTGATGTCAGGTACATCTTCTTATGCTTTTGCTTGTTTGTTATATAAATGATTGTGTTTCTAAAAAATCATACTTGGTTTCTTGTTGCAAACTCATTGTCATTAGAAAAAAAAAGTCACTTCCATTCTTTTTCTGATTTCATTAGTTTTTCATCAGGGAAGCAGTTGGTCAACGGTAGCAGTCAACCTGTTGCAACACAAGAGAGAAGAGCCATTGTGGACCCACGTGAACAGGTGGAAACCTCTGATTCGACTGATGAAGTCAAATCATCGTGATGATAATTTATGATGATGAGTACGTATCTATCCTGCAGCATCCTTAAGGCTTCTAGTTCTACCTCATGCTTAAAAAAACGTTGTCTGTAATTTTAAACTCCTTGTTAGAGTTTTCATCCCTCCTTCCTACAATATTGCA